CTGAAATTTTGAAACTGAAGTTCTCCCATATCCACAGAATTAAATCAGTCAAAATGCTATTTCAAAACACATCCTGAAATATTTCTACCTCAGCTTTTGAAACTGAAGTTCTCCCATATACACAGAATTAAGTTACTTCTAAAATGCTATTTCAAAACACACCTTGAAATACTTGAAATTTCTCCTAACAGAAAAGACTTGATAGTGGTTCTGTGTAATCTCTTGCTCAATCCAGCTGGAGTTCATCTCACAAAACCAGCCAGAAAATCCACAATATCATTTTTCAGGAGGGAGAAGAGATGAATTATGTTCCTCTGAGACAATACAGGAGTCTGTTCTTACCTGGAACTCATTGATGTATTGTGCCATGACAAATTCATGCCTTTCACTTGCTGAAGGCTCTGCTAAAATATCAGGGAGACTCTTGGAAATTTGGGTTTTCCTCTGGGAATCGGTGCCATGGAGGTGACAGTCGAAGCCAATGTTTCCAGGCAGCTGGAATCTCTGATCCTGAGGTCCAAAGGGACCCATCACCTCATCTGGCCACACAGTCCTGGGACCTGCAGGAGCCAAGGCCTTGCTTTAGTCACCACAACCCATAAAAAAAGGGGAAAAAGCAAATTAAACCCCCTCTCCCACACAAACATTTGCTCACCAAGTAACCCCAAGGCGCAAAATCAGGGCCCTGCCATAAAAACCACTCTCAGAAAGGTCTCTGGAGTGCAGAGTTCTGACAGCACACGGGTTCAAAGGAAAGGAATTTGCTTTTTCTTACATAAATCAGGAGGTGCAGCAGCCACATGAGGCTCATCTGAGCCAGAGGAACCTGCTGTGGAAAAAGCCTTGGGATTTACAACTCTTTTGACTAAGGAATAAAACCCTGGGAGGTAGGTGACCAATCTTGCTCTGTTACAGAGCACCTGAGAAGACAAAAAAACAAAAGGACAATTACAAACTGCTCCCCCCAAAAAATCAGAGTTTAACACAGCCCCGTGGGTCACAAAGAAATCCCTGCTCCATAATTCAATCACAACTTTAATGATCATCAACTGTAGCATCACGTTTTAGAAGGTATTTATTATTTTTAAATTTTACTAGTAAAAGTATTCAAAATAAAAACATGAGGAAAAAGCCCTGAAAACTTGAAATAGCACCACTGAAACCCCACAACCTAAAGTAAATTATGGATGGGGATTGTTTCCATGATTATTTCCATGCATGTCACTGTTTCCAGGATTATCACAATTCCATCATGGGGGTGATTACCAGAAAGACTTAGAAATATTGTTAATTATTGTTAATTTTCAACAATAGTTCATTGTTCATTTTCAGAATTAACTTTGAAGCCTCATGACAATATTTTAAGGACTAACACAAGCAATGTTATTGGATTTTTGTGGTTGTTTTGGTTTTTTTTTTAAGAAGAAGAAATATCCAGGTGGTGCCATTAAACAGAGAATTATGACCTATTTTTTATACTTTAGAAAAACACTGACAACTTTCAAGCTGCATTGACACACTCAGAACAGAAAAATAACCAACCAAACACTCCAGTTGGAGAGTTAGGAGTGTAATTTTAAAAAATGAAGATTAAGCTCCAGCACAAAACTGCTGCTATTTGACAAAACTGCACAAATTTTGCAGGTATTACTGGAAAATACAAATATCACCTACCAGAGGGTGTGTGTTTTGTAAAATTCTATTTTCCAGGTGAGGGAGAGAAATTGTTTTCAGAAAATGACACAAAGGGATTTTCCTTAAGTGCTGCAGCTTTGATTCCATAAATATTTATGCACCTGTTTACCACTAAATATTTTTACAGCCAGGTTACTTCAAAAGAAGGGAGTAAATGCTGCTATTTGTATGTTTATTATAAAAACAGTATTTAAAGTATCAGCACTTAAGGCAATAAAAGCACCAATTTCTTCCACACCACCTATGTGTAAATATAAAATAAGTTCTGCCAACATCATAAAGACTCAAATGCTTAGAGAAGCATTTAATTTATGATTTAAATCAATTATTTAAAGCCTTAAGCTGTTTAGTTATAACAGAGGTTTAAAAGCCTCCTTTAACACAACAAAAATCTGATGCCACTTAAGTTCTTTTTTTTCTGTTCTGCAAAATGACTACTGAAATTAATTTCTGCATAATGATTGTATTATAAACAGATGTAAACAATTCCAGCTGACACGTAATTACAAGAGAAGAGCTTTTTTTTTCCCTTATAATCAGGCTCACTTAACATGGAGATGTCATTAATTACAGCTATGACTGAGCTCACTCATGCAAATATTGACACACCTGGCATTACACAAGTGAGAAAACACCGCTGAAATCAATGAATTATTCATGGCTCCATGGCAAGAATAAATCAATAAAGGGGGTTTTATTCTCCAGCGTGAGAGGAGCCTGGTGAACCCGAGCACTGCAGGATCACAGAACTGCACCTGAGCTCAGGATGGTACAACAAGCACAAAACAAACTGTACTTAATCCTACGTTATCCCTGTGATATTTTAAGTTAAAGAGAGAAAGTTTAGATGGGATTTTGGGAAGGAATTCCTGGCTGGGAGGGTGCTGAGGACTGGAATGGAATTCCCAGAGAAGCTGTGGCTGCCCCTGGATCCCTGGAAGTGTCCAAGGGCTTGGAGCAACCTGGGCTAGTGGAAGGTGTCCCTGCCCATGGCAGGGGGTGGGACTGGATGAGCTTTGATGTCCCTCCCAACCCAAACCTGTCTGTGACTCCGTTTAACCCTCAATTGGACTATTCCCGTGATATCCACGGAATTCGGTGTCACTCACATTGGCCATGGCAGACGCCGCTCTCCTCTCGCCAACAGTCCCGGATGCCCCTGGAAAAGAAAAAGAGAGGAAGGAAGAGGAAAGAGAAGAGAGAAGGGGGAGGGAAGGGAAAGGGAAAAGGGAGGGAAAGGGAAAAGGGAGAGGAAGGGAAAAGGAAGGGGAAAGGAAGGCGCTGGACTCCGCCGCCCCGGATCCCCCTCACAGCCGATCCCCTCAGTGCCTCCCCCGCGCTCCCCGAACAGCGGTGCCCGGTGTCACAGGGCCGGGGCTGCCGGGGGACAGACGACGGGAAGAGAGAAGGGGACAGGGAAAAGAGGATAAGTAGCAGGGAGATGGAAAGGGGGATCGGGGAGCGGTCCCGGGGCGCTCCCGGCCCCTCTCACCTCTTCCTGCAAAATGGCGGCGCCCGCCCGCCCCCGCCGCGCCCTCGCCGCGCGCTCCCAGCCCGGGCCAGCCGAGCCGCCGACACCTCGATTAGAGGGGGCGCAGAACCAGCCAGAATCAGCCGCTCGGCGCTCGGTTGCTCGGGGCTGAGGATGAGGCGGTGGGGGGGGCTCGGGGGGAGAAGCGGCGATGGCGGCGCGGACGGGACGGCGACGATCGTGGTGGGGCCGGGGCGGCCCCTCGGGGCGGCCTCCAGCCGGTGTTATCCCGTGCTGTGGCGCGGCGAAACGCGCCCGTGGGCGCTCGTGGGCGCGGCGGTGGTGGCTCGGCGTGCGCGGCGGTGCAGTGCCCGCCGGGGGCACCAGGGGGCGGTCACGGAGCGTCAACCGCGCTCACGGCTCCCCCCGTACCCTCATGGGGATACTAAAGTGGAAAATGGGGAGAAAAAGGGGGTCTTCTCCTGGAAGTGGGGAGAAAAGGGGCTTTTCTCCTGGAAAATGCGGAGGAAAGGGGATTTGCCACGGAGGGAATGAAGAGGGGAGTGTTTCCACCCCTGCGATTCCCGGGGGATCCCTGGGGATGCGGAGCATCAGTGTCACTGCTGCCACAACACCAGGACTTGGAGGCGAGACCTCGAAGAACTGTTGTGCAATATGAGAATAAAAACCTTCAGTGTCTTTTGTTGTTGATTTTTTTTTCTTTTTCCCTTTTTTTTTGGCGGGGAGGGAGAGAAAGGCACTGACCAGGCTCCCCAAGGCAGTGGGCACAGCCCCAAGGCTGCCAGAGCTCCAGGAGGGTTTGGACAACGCTCTGAGGGACAGGGGGGGATTGTTGGGGTGTCTGTGCAGGGCCAAGGGTTGTACTGGGTGGTCCTCTCCTGTTAATTTCTGTACTTGCTGTTAATTAACTGCAAAAGTTATTAATGCAAAGTAATATGTAGGCTCTGAAACTGTTCTGTGTGTGGTGCTGGATCGGCTTGGAAGGATCCCAGCACGGGGCTCTCCAGTGCTCCCAGCAAAGGGAAAGGTTGTGGTTTTACTCCACTCACCATCTGAATGTCCCAGAGAAGCTGTGGCTGCCCCTGGATCCCTGGAAGTGTCCAAGGCCAGGTTGGAGCAACCTGGGATAGTGGAAGGTGTCCCTGGAGGGCTGGAGCCAGGCTGGGAGAGCTGGGGGGGTTCACCTGGAGAAGAGAAGGATCCAGAGAGACCTGAGAGCCCCTTCCAGGGCCTAAAGGAGCTCCAGGAGAGCTGGAGAGGGACTGGGGACAAGGCATGGAGGGACAGGACACAGGGAATGGCTTCCCACTGCCAGAGGGCAGGGAGAGATGGGATATTGGGAAGGAATTCCTGGCTGGGAGGGTGGGGAGGCCCTGGCCCAGGTTGCCCAGAGAAGCTGTGGCTGCCCCTGGATCCCTGGAAGTGTCCAAGGCCACTTGGATCCATTGAAGGTGCTCCAAGCTGGGTTTATGGGCAGATCTTTGTTGCTCCAAGGCAAACAGGTGACACAAAGGTAGCTGATGTTTGCTGTTGAGCCCTGGTGACTCCAGGGATTCTGCTGAATAAATAAATTGTTATCCACAGAGAATGTGTCGAATACACACAAAGTCAGTGGGGCTCAGCCAGAGCACTGATCCCAAAGCCATGTCCCTGTGCATGTGTAGAGCTCCTGCCCATGATTTTCCCAGAATTCTACTGGTTTTCCAGTCCATTATCTTTTTTCAAATTACCATCCTTTGTTTTTTTTTAGTGTCTCCTGGAACGTGACACGTTTGTCCTGCTCTGGCCTGAAGTGTATTTGTAGGAAGGACCATTTTAGCTCCTTCTTTTTCATCATCCCTTCAAACACCTCAGCCATAGGAGGATGGAATCCGTGATCCCTGGAAGTGTCCAAGGCCAGGTTGGATGGGGCTTGGAGCAACCTGGGCTAGTGGAAGGTGTCCCTGCCCATGGCAGGGGGTGGAAAAAGATGATTTTAAGGTCTCTCCCAACCCAAACCATTCTGAAACTCTATCTCTCCCAAATGCCTCCTCACACTCCACATCTTTTCAGCTTTTCTAACAAAACCATCTATGAATTTTCTGCTGTTGAGTCCAGAGCAGCCCCCACAGACACTGTGCTGAACAACCTCCTCATCTTTGTCTTCAAGTCCAGTGTTTTCTGTTTGCTCAGCACCAACCACCCTCTATTCCTCCTTTTCACAAGCCCTGGCAGAGCTGGAAAGGGAAGGCAGAAGCTTTGTGGGCAGCTTAAGGCTGGGTATTGTTTTCAGGTACCTTTTTTGTGGCGTGTTCAATATTGTGATTTCATTTAAATCAGGAGCTCTTTGAGGCAAAAACCTCCCCGCTTGCATATGTGGGGAGTGCTGTGCATACTAATGCCACTGTTTAAATGCTGAATTAAAAATATCAGGGGAGAGGTGCCCAATCCCAAATCTGCTTTAAAGCTCATATAAAAGAGCTGTTTTGCTGCACTAGAGGGGAAACACAGACAAACCACTTCAGAATACCAGGATTAAGACTCTTCTTTCTTATTTTTTTTTTTTGCCATTTCTTTGCTGTCTGTTCCAAGCTGGTCAAGAAAAAGGAACTTTAATCTCTTCAGAATAAAAGATTGGGCATTCAGATCCCTCAGTGACTCTGCACATGACCTTTAATGTACTTTATTTATAAACCAGATATTTCTGGACATTTATTTGGCTTTGCTGCTGGTTTATAAGGATAAATTTATTAGCCTAAACCAGGTTTCAATATATAATAATATATAAAAACATATAATAATATAATAATAAAAGCTTTCAATATATCACTCTGTAGTTCAAAATCAGAGCAAGAAATTGGTTTTGTGGTCATAATATTCAGCCTGCAATGTTCTTATTGCATTTAATAAAATTTTGGCTTTATTTGATGGCGATCAAGAGGAAATTATTGTCTCCAATTCCAAACACTATGATCTATTAAGGAGCTATAATGTTGCAATTTTGATTTTTGGACTCTTTCATGAGAGCATTTGCTCACTATTGCACACCACCCAACTATTTTATTAATTCCATGTTAGCACACTTAACTCTCTTTTGCTTTTAAATTAAATATTCATGTTGAATCTCTGAACTTCAGCAAAAAAAAACCAGCAAAATGCTGGAGAAATTCAACTTTAACTCTTTACAGAATATAACTCGGATAAATTGGATTCCAACCAGCCTGTATTGACTTGTCCTGAGGCAATCCCAGTTTATCTCCTCTCCAGGGCGAGCACTTGGAGATACTCAAATCAATCAATGAGTTATCACCCCCTGAAGTTTGTGGCCTGAATTCATAAAGATTCATTTCAATCAAGTTTCTACCTCTATTCAAAGGGGGCTGCGGAATCAAACAATCCAATTACGGATTTATCAAATATTAATCATGAAAATCTCCCAGATCTTTTGGATGCCAACATTCCTCTCCCCTGGTGTCAGGAAAGTAATTAGCAGCTGGCTTTGATTAAATTCTTCCCTCAGAGATTACTCCTCTCGGTTTGAGGAAGGAATGCACACAAGTTGATCCCTAATTCCTCGTTTTAAAGCCTTTTTTGGTTCAGTTCAGTGAAGCTCAGTCTGTGCCCAGGAACCTGCAGCAATTTTGGGGGTGAATCCTGAAGAGCACAAGTGGCTTTTCCTGAGATGCTCTTTTTCCTTGGCTTTGGGGTCAGGAAGGATGTGGAGCTGTTGGAGCAAGTCCAGAGGAGGCACCAAGATGATGGGAGGGATGGAGGTCCTCTCCTGTGAGGAAAAGCTGAGAGAACTGGGATTGTCCAGCCTGGAGAAGAGAGGGGTCTGGGGAGACCTGAGAGCTCCTCCCAGGGCCTAAAGGGGCTCCAGGAGAGCTGGAGAGGGACTGGGGACAAGGGATGGAGGGACAGGACACAGGGAATGGCTTCCCACTGCCAGAGGGCAGGGTGAGATGGGATATTGGGAAGGGATTCTTGGCTGTGAGGGTCTGAATGGAACTCCCAGAGAAACTGTGGCTGCCCCTGGATCCCTGGGAGTGTCCAAGGCCAGGCTGGACGGGGCTTGGAGCAACCTGGGCTAGTGGGAGGTGTCCCTGCCCATGGAATGAGATGATCTTTAAGGTCCCTTCCAACCCAAACCATTCTGGGATTTTGTGTTACTGCCAGTCTCTGGTTTTGGTGACAGTGGTTTCCTCAGGGCTGCAGCACCAGGAAGAGTCTCAGCAGCTGCAGGAATGTCAGAGCGAGGAGGAGGCAGAAGGGAACTTTTCCAGTCACCACCCCCCTCTGCCTGAAAACTGAACTCCCAGGCTCCTTGGGGTTCTCCTTCCCCATCCCCAGCCTTGCTGGAATCCTCACTCTGTGAGCGGAGCAGCCGGAGGTGCCCGAGAAGGTGTTTTGGTGCCTACAACAAGCACAGGGTGAATTTTCAGCCCTTCCCTCTCTGCTCTTCCATGAACCCAGAGAAGCTGTGGAAACTCCACCCTTGGAGGTCTTCAAAACTCAATGTGATGAGGTCCTGGAATTGGACTGGAGAGCTCCAGCGTGGAAATGTGGCTTTTCCTGTGAACAGGTGCTTCCGTGCTCATGAAAACAGAGGAATCTTCTCACACAAACATCAGATGCTCCTGGATGGTCCAGTGTTTGTCAGCACCTGCACCAGGACAAGTAGGTGTGGGATCTTCAGTATCTGTTGTGACCTGTTTATTTGGGACCGATAGACCTGGATTCCTGGGAGTTTGGCCTTCCTTGTCCTCTTCACTTGTTGCACAAACAAGACCTTAATTAAAACCTCTCTGTCACCATCCCTATCCATTACCTTACAGGTAACATTTTTATTAAGCCTATCCAAATAGATGCTTTTGGAATCCTCCCCTAAGCATTAGAGCTGCAGCTTTTCCCTGTTTTCCCTAATTTCATCCTTAATGTGGATTTTGCTGCTTGTATTTCCCATTCCCCCCTGCACTTAACCAGCTGTGATTCACTGGTTAACTGGAATTGCCCCTGGTTATGTTTTTTTTCATTTGAATACTGCAGAAGCCTGTTAAGTGGTCATAAAAATAAGGAGATATTCTTTATTCCCATTGCACTTCTTTCTG